TTACTTTTTATTTGAGAGACTCTCTGGAAGCCACACAGGCTGGCCTCAAGCTCACTCTATAGTCTAGTACTGGACTTGTCAGTCTCCTGTCATAGTCTCCAGAATAGCTGAATTACAGGCCTGGATCACTAATTGCTTTTTGGAAGACAGAACAGTGGGATAAGAAATCTTCAAGAGATGTGGAAGTTCAAGACCCGAGGCCATGAGCCACAGGCCTGAGGACTCTGTAGACCAGGCCGGCCTCTGACTCACAGAGATCCTCCTGCCTCTGCCGTCTGAGTGCTGGGATAAAGGCGTGCGCCATCACTCAGCTTACATTATTGTGTGTTTCTGAAACAGGGTCTTACTTTGTAGTCCAGAGTGGCTTGGATTCACTATATGGCCCAGTCTGGCCTTGAATTTGTCATAATCCTTCTGCCTCAGCTTCGCAAATGCTGGGGTTACAGGCACAAGCCACCATGCCCCTCTGCAAGAAGTCACAGTCAGCCGCCTCCTTGCCCTCACCCTCTCTCCTTCCCTCCCTCTCTTCTCTCTTCACCCCCCTCCCCCTCTCTGCTTTCTTTTTCCTAAGGCCCTGAAGTTTTACAAACTGTTCTCGGCCTCCCTTTCCTGACCCAAAGCAACAGTGCTCATGGGTAACAAAACTAGCAAGCTCCGAAGTCAGTGCGTTTATCTAGGGTAACAGATTCATCAATATGCATTCTGCATACAGGTTAATTCACGCCACCAGACACTGCCAGTCTGCCATGTTCTAGGCTCAATTTAGGAATAGGGACATCACAGTGAACAGAGGAGACCCCCACCCCAGGCCCTCACAGGACTCACGCCTTAGCCACACACACAGAGTATACACACGACACACATGACACATAAAGACAGGTCCCTTGTTACCTGTGTCCCTCAGACAACTGAAATAAAAACTCCCAAGCAGGACCTAAAGCAGGACTTACACAGACTGGCTGCTGTGTTTTCTCACATTTCACAGGAACAGTCAGTCACAAAAGAGAATGGGGAAGGGTTTCTCCCCGTTTCCCCATTTCCTCTTCTTGCTTTTAGCTGACTGGTTGGATACCTCCACAGTAGCAAGGCATACTACATTTACCTCTGCATTACAAGGGCGTAATACGTGATATGTCAGAAAAGCGAAAAAAAAAAGAAAAGAAAAAAAGAAATAAAAAAAAAGAAAAAGAGAAAACCAAACTTTTTTCCTGAGCTGGTGGTTGAACTCAGGGCCTCACGCACTGAGAGCGAGTCCTCTACTGCCGAGCCACACCCCCAGTCTCAGAACAAATTAAGGAAAGTCATGATTCATCCAACCCAACGCACGAAGGCCCAAGTGCCCAAGAGTCACGTCAAAACAACTGCCAGAAATTATAACGTGCCTGCAAAAGTCAGGAGCATAATCAGAGGCTGTTCCCATATAACTACACTCTAAAAACACCCATCCCAGACAGGCAGGCACATGACAATAACATGTTGGCATACAGATGCAGGAGCCTGCCCCAGACCTGTGACATTTAACCTCGTCGTTACCGCAGACGAACGGAGGAGAAAGCTTCAAAGGGAGAGGCTAGGGTTGACGTCTTCCTCGTGTACTGGGTCCCTCTTCAATGTCCTGCAAGACCTAGGCTGTATTAAACATTATGTTGAACTGATGTAAGAAATATGTCTGTAATTGGTTCATTTTTGTTTTTGTTTTTTTAAAACTCTTTGGCGGACCCGATACCCACCTCCCAAATAAATACATGGAGGCTTACTCTTTCTTATGAATGCCTGGCCTTAGCTTGGCTTATTTCTAGCCAACTTTTCTTAACTTAAATTATCCTGTCTACCTTTTGCCTCTGGGCTTTTTATCTTTCTCTATTCTTTTTTGTTTGTTTGTTTGTTTTTTGAGTCAGGGTTTCTCTGTGGCTTTGGAGGCTGTCCTGGAACCAGCTCTTGTAGACCAGGCTGGTCTCGAACTCACAGAGATCTGCCTGCCTCTGCCTCCCGAGTGCTGGCACTAAAGGTGTGTGCCACCGCTGCCCAGTGTCTTTCTCTATTCTGTATACCTTCCTTTACTTCTTACTCTGTTTCTTGCCGTGTAGCTGGGTGATTGGCCCCTGATGTTCTCCCTCCTCCTCTTTTTCTCTGTCCTCTCCCAAATTTCTCCCCCTGTTTATCCTCTCTGCCTGCCAGCTCCACCTATCCTTTCTCCTGACTTGCTATTGGCCATTCAGCTCTTTATTAGACCACCAGGCATTTTATACAGGCAAAGTATCACAGCTTCACATAGTTAAACAAATGCAACATAAAAAAGCGCAACACATCTTTGCATCATTAAACAAATATTCCACAGCACAAACAAATATAATACATCTGAAAATAATATTGCACAACCGATGTCTTTTTATATTGTGAATTTTAACCTTACATCTTTTGTGCTCGAACACCTTTGAGTGCAGAATAAATGCCGTGTGGTCTTACACTGTTTTGTTTTGTTTTTGAAATGGGTTCTCACTATGTATCCTAGACTGGTATCAAATTCTTAATCCTCCTGCCTTCCTAGTACTGGGCTTACAGGCTTACACCACCACTCTGGACCCATATTGTTTTAAAGATGCTGTAATTCAGTCTAGTGGTGGTGTAGCCGTTTGGCATACGTGAAGCCTGGGGCTTGAGAAGGGCAGAGCCACACTTGTAAAAGGTGATACTCACGGAATGCTCAAGCTATTCCAGGCCCTGTTCTCCATGCACAGTTTGTTTCACTCTTAAAATTGTTCCATGAGTTATAAACATCACCCCCTACAGATGAAGAAATGGACACGATTTCCTTTTCTTCTAAAAAAAATCATTGTGTCTGTGTACATGTGGCGTGTGTGTGTGTGTGTGTAGGTGTGTAGGTGTGTGTGTGTGAGTGTGTAGGGGTGTGTGTGTGTGTGTGTATGTGTGTGTGTGTAGATATACACATACCACAGCATGCACTTGGGAATCAGAGGACAACCTCAGGTGTCAATCTGCATCTTCCGTATTGATTGAGAGAGGGTCTCTTGTTTGATGCCATGGATACCAAGTTAGGAGAAGACCACAAAGCTCTTGGGGATCCTCCTGTTTCCGTTTCCCTCCTCCCGAGAAGTGTAGGATCACAGCTGAGTGCCTATCTGCTTGGTTTCCCATGAGAGCTGGGATCTGAACTCCGGTCCTTGCATTTGCAGGGCAAGGGATTTATCAACTGAGCCATCTCCGGAGCTCCAAAACACGTCTTGACCCAGGTACATCAAACGTGGTTCCGTCTATAAGATACTTAGCTCAACGCTCACTGTATACGAGGTGTTTAGTAAGCAGTTGTTATTATTTCATCCCTAACTCCTCGAGACCCCTTACAGGCTCGGTAGCAAAAGGAGAGCAGGGGCTGTTGTTCCCTCTGAGTGTGACTACAGCCTAGGCCCTCATAGGAAGGCCCTTTGCTGAACACAGGCCTTAGATCCTACCTTTAGGGCTTTGGGGAGAAGACTAAGTCATTGGTCACATCTGTTAAAATAAAGGAAAGGGCTGACACAAATGAAAGGGACCCAACTGGACGCAACCGCATGAGCTGCGAGCTGAGCAGTAACCGGCTATGACTCGGGGCGGGTCATCGCATCTCTCCAGGTATGGGCCAGATGATCGATTCCATTCACAATTCTGCGATCAATTCCCCTGTGGAAATTCTGGTCTTCCCTTCACTGTCATCCCTAGAGAATTAAGGTGCTTTTTACTGCCTATTCCCAGGGTTTTGAAACAGAACAGCAGGGCTCACACAGGGTGCAGCACTTTGAGGGTTGTGGGTTTCCTGCCTTCTCTCCAGATACATGTGGACATCTGTTTTCCTAAACGTGCACGGCACGCCAACTTCAGGTTACCTTTTCCCTTCAAAGGATGGAGGAGAAACTTCCATGCTCATCCTCCTTTTCCCCTAATTTTTTACTGTGACCCAAAGCCCACCAGTACTGACCATTGTCGAATCCCCTGGGCACAGAGGGAACTGGACGAGCAAGGGCTATTTGGAAGATGTCATTCAAACGTTGGCGCCCCTCCCCCATCACCGCAGCACCCTGGAAGCACCTGTCCTTTTTTGTTAGCGATCCTTTCCTAATCCTTTTTCAAATTTCACCTGCCATTGAGAGTCCACTGCTGCTGTCATTTTTGAAGGACAAACCTGTTTTTCTAGTAATAATTGCATTGGACATCTGTTTCCATGAACCGCCCCCCCCATCCTCCTCCAAATCCCCAAGTGACTGAAACAATAGTGCAATAAAAGGCCACATTTTCTGATCCCAACAGGCAACATTTTGCCCATGTTTGTTCAACAAGAGGATGAATTTAAGGACAAACCAGGAACCAACGGAAAAATCTTCCCTACGCTCGCAGTTCCCCCTACGACAGAGTTCAGAGTCAGGGAAACAGTTGCCTCTTGCTGCTGAAGAAAACCATCTTATTAGGATGCTTTTCCACGGACGGGTTATGTTATTGTTGCCTTGACAAGGAGACATGTACTAACACCTTTCCTAATGGATTGAGAGAAAGCCTGTTTCCATCAGGGCTGGAGACGAAACCAGCCAGAGTGGTTCTATGTTGCCTTCGAAGGGTATTATACAGGAAACCTCTGAGAGAGTGTGGTTCCAGGGACACCAAGGAAACCCCTCCTTCATTGATAATATCCAGAGCTTTGTTTCTGATTGAACTCTGGTAAAAAAAAAAAAAGCAGGAATTTAGGCTGTGTCTCCAGAAGATCAAATATCAAGCCTGGAACATGAAGTGGGGGTTGGAGATTGCTACTTTGGGGCACATTATCAGGCACCGGCTAGAGGTTTGGCAAGAACCAACAGCTGGTCATGGTGGAGTTTTTGAGGCAACCATTGTGAGTGGAATGCTGTCTTCTCCCCCTGAGCTTTCAAGATGTAACATCATTTCATGGGGTTAATTTTACAATGATAAACCCAAAGATTTACCCAGAAGGGTGCTCAAACCACTTAGGCCTCTTTATTCTCCTGAGAAGACTGACTCAAAATATCTCCTGGAGACATTCTCTTAGCAAGAGACTTCTAGAACTTAGAGATGTTGGTGACTTGGACTGAGAACTGGAATTGATGACATTCCAGTGAGACTGTGCTGTAGCTAAAAGGCAAACAAATGGAGAAGAATATAAGGTAAACATCCTTTTATCTGTTCTTCCAGCCATGGACACCACACAAAAACACACATAAGACGTCCTAGAAAGGGGAGGGTGTTGCACCCTGACCAGGGAGCTCAGGACAGAACAATGACACTGATTTTATTTTTTTGTCTTCTATATTCTAGTCATGGATCTAAAGAAGCTGCTATCCCAGACGTAACAGGAATTATAGACCAAAAAAAAAAAAGGCCAAATGACCAGGGACAGCCTACCAAAGCAGACAGCTTTGCTCTAATTACCACTCCCCTCTAGCCAAGCACCACAGAGTACCTGTGATCCCACCCATTCTCCACTTAGAACACTGGCTTCTGACAACACCCACACCGGAGCCATGTCAGAGAAGACAGGACGGGAGCCAGGACCTTCAAGCTTGGCCTGGGGAGATGGCTCCGAGGGTAAAACACTTGCTGTTCAAGTGTAGGGACCTAAGTTCAAATCCCCAGACCCCACCTAACGCTGGGCAGAGAGATGGAGACAGGAGGACCCCAGGAACCTGCAGAGCCAGCTAGGCTGCTTACACAACGAGAAACAATGAAATCGACTGTCAAGAGGCAGTATCTGAGGTTGTGATGTGGACTCTACATGCATCCCTGCGTTCACACACATGGATGCACACACATACAGGAACAACATAGGCATGTGTGCGCATGCGTGCGAACACACACACACACACACATGCAATGCACACACACACATGCACACGCATACACTCTAAAAAAAGACTAGTGAGACAAGACTCCCCTCCCCCATTTGGTTTTTCAAGACAGTTCTGGAACTCATTCTGTAGACCAGGCTGAACTCAAACTCAGAGATCCACCTGCCTCTGCCTCCTGGGTGCTTGGATTAAAGGTGTGCGCCACCACCATCCCTCAAGACAGGACATTTCAAACCTAAGTAATGAACTCCTTTCCCAGAAGCCATGGGGGTTCTCTCCCACACAGGGGGTGCTCTCTCACATAAAAGGGTGCTCTCCCACACACGGGGTGCTCGCTCACACAGGGGGTGCTCTCTCACATAAGGGGGTGCCTCCCATTCTTTTGCAGTTTACCTAAGTGTCTTCTCCAGATGTCAACAGAGCCCAGGACGGGAACTTGACCTCTGATCTTTTTGCAGTAACATTTCTTCCCCATTTTTCTGTCACAACGATATCAGAAAAAGCCATTTCAAACAGGGGTGTTAAATACGAATCAAGACTTTAGACTGTAACAGGGAAATGCCCAAGTACCAGTATAAAGATCACTCATTATCCCAAGAACCAGGAAGGTCTTGGCATAAGGAGGAAGGGGACAATACATGTGGAGAAAGGGAGAATTAGGAAAGAGGTAGTCAAATGATGGAAATTTCACTTAGAAGGGAGGAATTCAAGAGATCTATTGTACGATACAGCAATTATAGTTAGTAACAATGTAGCATTTATTTGAAAATTGCTGAGGGAAGGGTTTGTGTCCTTGCCACAGGAGGAAAGTGTATGAGTGACACACGCATTACTTCACTTAATCTAGTCATTTAGCAGGGTATCTGTGTTTCAGCTCATCACTGTATATGAATCTTTTATTTGTCAGCTTACAAAACCGGTGCCAGCACCCAGGCGGAAGGAAAGGGCGACAAGAAGGAGAAGTCGTAAAGGAGTAGAAAATGCAAAGAGCCAAGTGGAAATGTTTAAATGAAAGGTACAGCAATTAAAAGACAGAAAACGGCCGAGCGTTGGTGGCGCACGCCTTTAATCCCAGCACTCGGGAGGCAGAGGCAGGCGAATCTCTGTGAGTTCGAGGCCAGCCTGGTCTACAGAGCGAGTTTCAGGACAGCCTCCAAAACAATACAGAGAAACCCTGTCTCAAAAAGAAAAAAAAAAAAGACAGAAAGCGTTTTGGGGATGGCTCTAAAGACAGAATGGGATGGAGGTGCAGAGAAGGAGCCAGCGGGCAGAGAGTAGAAATAAGACATTACCTAAACCGGGACAGTTGGGAGAGAATGGCTGAAAAACCATCATCAGAGCTTTATAGACACAGTAACGGGGGGGGCTTAAAAACTGCATGAAGGGACAAGGACAAGGGGTGAGGAGGTGGCCCGGATGACGAAGCGTTTGCCAGAAGCAGGAGGATGCCGGGGGCTTGCTGGCCAGCTGGTCTTGTCACGTCAGTGAGCTCTAAGTTTGGTGAAAGACCCAGTCTCAAACAAGAAGGTGGAAGCGGTTTAGAATGTGGACCGCCCCCCTCCAGAAGGCCTGAGTTCAGTTCCCAGCCTTCACGTCAGGGGCCTCGCGGGCTTCGGCCGCCTTCTTCTGTACTCTGCGGCTGTCTGCACTGGTGTGCGCGCATACTCACCCACGGACACACGTAACTGAGAAGATAAAATAAACGCGAAGAAGAAGCGTCAAAGGAGGCGGCGGCGGGGTGGGTGGCGGTGGCGGCGGCTGAATGGACTCTGCTTTGAATGTGAGATGTCCCCCAACCAGGTCATGTGTCTAAGTTCTTGGTCTGTGTGGGGAAGGCCTGCTGGGGCGGGAGCAAGCAGCCTCCACACGCTCCCCCCACCACGGTGGTGCCCACAGCCGCGCCTTCCCCGCACCACTGAGGTCACTCAAGCCATCAGCCCCAATAGAGCTCTCCTGTTGAAAGCCTGCCCTTTGCTGGCGATGGCCACAGGGATGAGAACACTAAAAAAGGCCAAGCCACATAGCCTTCATGCAAAGATCTGTGCTAGCATTCACCATACCTACCGTTCTGAAAGCTAAATTCTAAGAAAAGCAGCCAGAGAGCAACGGTGCTTCGTCTACACGCAAAGATGAATTGGATGACAACCTGCTTGTCATCCGAACCCACCGGAGGCCAGAAAGAAAGGACACAACGTCTTCAAGTGCTGAAGGCTTTCCCCAGACTCGGAATCCCCAGTGAAAACGCCCTCCGGGAATAAAGGGAAGGTAGCAAGACATTCATTCCCAGGTAACGAAAACTCAGAGACTTTGTAACCAGCAGCCATGCCCAAAGAATGGCTTTAAAAGTTTGCTGAATGTGAAGGGGGGGGGACTTCAAAGGAAACTTGAAGCTTCAGAAAGGAAGAAAGGACACAGCAAGCAGCAATAATGTAGATACACAAGTCTCTTCTATTCCAGAACGTTCTAGATTGTGTTTCATAGTGAAAGTAAATATCGGCGAACTACCTGGCATGGCTCTAAATGGAGGAGGAAAATGAGAGAGAGAGAGAGAGAGAGAGAGAGAGAGAGAGAGAGAGAGAGAGAGAGAGAGAGAGAGAGAGAGAGAGAGAGAGAGAGAGAGAGAGAGAGAGAGAGAGAGAGAGAGAGAGAGAGAGAGAGAGAGAGAGAGAGAGAGAGAGAGAGAGAGAGAGAGAGGAGAGAAGAGAGAGAGAGAGAGAGGGGAGAGAAGAGAGAGAAGGAAAGTGAGAGAATTGATGTAGAGACTGGTAAAATCATATCAGTAGGTTGTTATGTTTATGTAACAATCCCCAAACCTTGTTAAGAATCGATACGGGGGCCTGGAGAGATGGCTCAGCAGTTAAGAGAACTGGATGTTCTTCTAGAGGACCTGGGTTCAATTCCCAGCACCCACATGACAGTTCACAACTGTCTGTAACTCCAGTTCCAGGAGACCTGACACCTTCATACAGACATATATGCAAGCAAAAACACCAATGCACGTAAGAGTAAATAAAAATAAATCATTAGAACATATTTAAAAAGAGAAACAAGAATCGATTCAGACAAACCATCAAAATACCAGAGGGGTTAGCAAGACAGCTCTGTCAGTGGGAGTACTGGCTGCCAGAGCTCATGACCAGAGTTAGACCACCCAGGACCCCTGTGGCGGAAGAACCGAGTCCTGCAAAGCGTCTTCTAACCTACAAATCATGTATGGCACTTGTACTCCCAATAAATAAGTCAACAAGTAGGTATTCACAATATAAATGATGTAGAGAAACTGAAATACAGTTCTAAAAGGTATAGCTGTAAAGTAACCCGGGAAGGAGGAGGAATACGGAAGAAAACAAACCAAAGCTGTGGTAGTTTGAATGTAATCAACCCCCGTAATCCCATAGGGAGGGGCCCTATTAGGAGGCGTGGCCTTGTTGAAGTAGGTGTGGCCTCGTTGGAGGAAGTCTGTCATTGTGGGGGGGCGGGCTTTGAGGTCTCTTTTGCTCAAGAGATCACCTAGCACGACAGTTCATTTTCCCCCGTTGCCTTCTGGTCAAAATGTAGCTGGTATCATGTGTGCCTGCCTGCCACCATGCTCCCTGCCATGATGACAATGGACCGAACCTCTGAAAGTGTAAGCCACCCCAATTAAATGTTTGCCATGGTCATGGTGTCTCTTCACAGCAATAGAAATCCTGTCTAAGACAAAAGCTCAAAACATCAGACTTTTTTTTTTTTTTTTTGGTTTTTCGAGACAGGGTTTGTTTGTGGAACATACTCTGTAGACCAGGCTGGTCTCGAACTCACAGAGATCCGCCTGCCTCTGCCTTCCCCCGAGTGCTAGGATTAAGACGTGTACCACCACCAAACAACAAAACATCAGACTTAAGCCTGATGTATCAATATTTCGTCTAATTCATTAATGTTTTATTTTTTAATTTTTTATTGGTTTTCGAGACAGGGTTTCTCTGTATTGTTTTGGAGGCTGTCCTGGAACTCGCTCTGTAGACCAGGCTGGTCTCGAGCTCACAGAGATCCGCCTGCCTCTGCCTCCCCAGTGCTGGGAATAAAGGCATGCACCACCAACACTTGGCCATTAATCTTTTAATAGAGATTGCCGAAGCAGATTAAAAACATGACTGCCCTTTAGACTGTTTTAGATCTGTTACCCAAGCAGCTGCCACCTTCCAATGTGCTCAGTAACTCTTTTTTTTTAATCCCAAATCCAAACAATAAAAAAGAAACCACTAGAGAAAAAGAGCAAAGCGATACAATAAGAATGCCAATACAAGGAAGATGTAGTGGCTCTAAATGAACTTTCTGAACAGCAGGCCTGAAAAATGTGTGACACCAACTGGGAAGAGAAATACATAAACCCTTAATTGTAGTTGGGAGCCTACGAAGATTTTGATGACTTGACCTCAATAACTGACTGAACAACTAGACAGTAAATCACCAGGATAGAGAAGAATGAATGCCACCACCAACCTACATGATCTAACTGAGGTTAATCCAACATCCTACCCAACCACAGTAGAATACTCTTTGCCTTCAAGTGGTCACAGAATACATCAATATAGATTGTGTCCTGGGCCTTAACACATATAAAAATATTAAAATCTTAGAGTCCATTCTTCAGCTATCATAGAATCTAGCTGGGAGTCATTAATAGAAACACAATAAAAATCTTCACATGTTTACAAGCTAAATAACACACTCCTATGTAACCCAGGATTAAAGAAGGAAGCCACAAGGAAAATTAAGAATGCATTGAGCCGAATTAAATTAAAATATAATATGTCAAAATTTGTGGAGCAGAGCTAAAGCAGCAGGGAATGGAGTGTACAGTTCTCAGGAATAAACTAGAAAATCTGAAGTCAACAATCTCAGAGCAAGAAGAGGAGAAGATGAAGCCAGAAGCCAACAAAACATAAAACAAAAATAGAGAAAAGCTTGATGAAATAGAGAGCTGCTTCTTTGGAGTGGTCAAAATATAGAGAAAAGCTTCATGAAATAGAGAGCTGCTTCTTTGGAGTGGTCAATAAAACTCACAAATCTCTAGCAAGGTTGACAGATGGAAAAAGCAAGAGACCCACATATTATCAATATCAGGAATGAAACAGAGAATATTACTGAGGCCCTGAAGACATCTGCAAGATAAAGGGACCGTGTGACATTTATACAAGACCCACAAGCCACTTAGTATGCAATAATTTAAATATCCCATCAACTATTAAGCAAATTGAATTGCAAACTGAACTAATTAAAGCATCTCTAAGAAATAAAGTTTCGCTGTAAAATTCTATAAAACTTATAAAGAAGACCAGGGCTAGAGAGGTGGTTCAGCAGGTAAGAATACTGACTACTCCTCCAGAGGACCCCTACCCCACCCCCCAACACAGGCTCACAAGTATCTGTAATTCCAGGAGATCAAACACCCACTTCTGACTCTGATGACACCAGGCTTGCATGTGGTACGCAGACAGACGCATAAGCAAATACCCATACTCACAAAATGAAAAAAATACATATATTTTTAAGAGATGAAGAATTGACACCATTTCAAAACAATCCCAGGAAGCAGACGAGGGACACTTCTTAAGTCATTTATAGAAGTGGTACTGGTACCCAAGTTAAAGGCAGCACATCAAAAGAAATCTGCACACCAGTATCCGTCATGTACATACACACAAAAGCCCTTTATGAAGTGTTAGTGAGTAAAATCCAGCCCTGTCCGTGAGTCATGCACCTTAACCACACGGTCTAATCCGGAGATGCAACGCTAATCCAGCCTTCGAAAACGAGTGACACACAATGCTATCAAGCTGAGGAGAAGACTACACGGTTCTATCAATTCATTCAGAAAAAAAAAAACACTTGGTAAAATGCAGTGCCCATTTGTGCTTCAACCTAACGGCAGACGCCATCCCCCAGGGTGCACACGGAGCAAGCGCCACACTACTCCATGTGTCCTGGTTTGAGGCTGTGTCTGGAAGTTCTCACGGATGCAGTTAAGGCAAGAAGAGGAGGCAACAGGGACATAACTAGGAAGGGCAAGAGACAATTAAGCCAATCTCCACATAACATGGTTAACAGTCCCAAGGAACTGATCAAAAAAAAAAAAAAAAGAAAAGAAAAGAAAAAAGAAACAAAGAAAGAAAAGAAAAAAGAAACAAAGAAAGAAAAGAAAATAGCGACAAACCCAGGTTGAATAAGTGAGCCCAGTGGTGACGCAGGATGTGAAATGAAGACTGAAGACCCGTGTTGTAGCCCTACACACTAGCAACAAATACGTGAGCACCAAAAGGAAAAGGTACCACCGTACCATTTACAGCTATGCGGAAAGCATTCCCAGTGGAAGACCTGCTAAGGCCTGCTGCGGCCGTGGCGTGCGGTGTGAGAGACACTGACGGAAGGGATCAGAGACGACCCTGACCAGTGAGGCGAGCGGTGACAGACCCAGACCCACGGACCGGAAGACTGAGTGTAGAAACCACACCGACTCTGCCACGCTGACTCGGGTTGAATGCGGCTTTTTTAGCAACGGCCCTAGCAAGATTTTTAAATGCATC